TATTACAATCTCCAAATCAAACAACAGATATATTAGAGTAACCCAAGTATACGTAATGATATTACAATCTCCAAATCAAACAACAGATATATTAGAGTAACCCAAATTTATAAACAAGACTATACATGTGTTGTTCCAAAACTAACCCTCTCACATAGAAGCTACACTTACTCTTGTTACGTTGACTATTCCTATGCAAAACGATACAGATATGACCATAGCAGTGAAGATCTCTCGTCTGATGCGCCATCTGCCGAATAATGGTTGAAATTCGTCTATAAGACCAGTAATAACTGATTCAAGACCTCCCATCTGAAACAGAAGTAACATGTAAATTGATAAAATGATCATGGTCTTAATAGGCTTCATGAAATTCATTTCATAAAGAGGTCAGAAAAATAACTCAATAGAATTTTAAGAACTTAAGGTATATTTTAATCAATATTTTCATAACTCAGTCATGGCAGCAACTAAAATAATATTTCAACCAACAAAAAAAGGAAAAAAATAAAACAGATATTTCATATAAGAAATTAGACATAGACAAAACACAAGACTTTTCCAATAACACAGAGGATCTTCTAATCAACCATTTCATACAAAGTATAAGTAATAACTCAAAGACCTGCTAATCAACCACTTCCTATAGAGTCATGTTAATAATACAAAGAACATTCTAGTCAACCATTTCCAACATTTTCAGTATAATAACACAAAGGATAACCTAGTAAACTATTTCCTGTAAAAACAGAGTAATATCTTTAAGCATATTCTGGTGAACCATTACATATAGAGTCAGAGTAATAACACAAAAGGTGTTTCATTATATAAATTCATAAAATAGTTTGATTAGATGTACAAAATGATATTATAAACAATTATACCACGAATCAGTTAAAAGAACAGCTAAAAGAGTATTGTGATATATTGCTTTACAAGTTAGCCAGATAAATAGATAGAAAATATTACAATGTATCGTATTGCATAACAATCTGAAGCTGTTTAACGGTGTTGTGTAACAGGCTAAGACTAACACTTGAGTGAAGGTTATGACCGAGAAACTAACAACATTTAATTACTTAGTAGAATAAACTAAACACAAGAGTAGTGTTTTAAAATAATAATAAGAGGATTTCACTGTGTTATACGACACTCTATCAGCTGTGTTAGAACTTTCTGAGAAAACAGCAGCAAATATCCACTCACCTGTTAGCGTTATATACAACGTTCTCTCAAATGAAACCCTTTAACGTTTGTTAAACTGATGCTTCACGTAGTTAACCACTGCTGTTTTCTCAGATGTTGTTATACAACACAATTAAACCAGTGTTTAATTGTGTTGTATAACAAATTGAGAGCTGAGTCAGTCTTTTGCTGGAGAAAATATGTCATTTATGTGTTGTATAACAAGATCCTTTCTGAGTGATGATTTCGTCTGAGAGTATAAAGTGATTAAATGTGTTGTATAACAAGATCCTTTCTGAGTGATGATTTCGTCTGAGAGTATAAAGTGATTAAATGTGTTGTATAACAAGATCCTTTCTGAGTGATGATTTCGTCTGAGAGTATAAAGTGATTAAATGTGTTGTATAACAAGATCCTTTCTGAGTGATGATTTCGTCTGAGAGTATAAAGTGATTAAATGTGTTGTATAACAAACCGACTGAGGATTTCATCAGTTAAAATAAAAGTGTTTCGTTGTGAGTTTTAATTTTTATAAACAAGAATAGTTTTTAAGTAAACGGGTTGTTGATAGTGTAAACCATAACTCAACTTCAAAATATGTAGTGCACAAGATGCTCAGTGACCCAGAGTCCAACCTTATCATGTTGGATCTCGTATATAACCAATGTTGTGAAACATTTTATTGCAAAAAAACACATCAACAACAAAATAATTAATTAACTTTACTTACGGCACTATCCAGTCCTAATGTAAGCAGCATGAAAAAGAAAAGCACAGCCCAAAATGGTGCACCAGGTAGCGTGGCAATCGCTTCCGGATAAACCTGAAACACAAGTCCGTGACCTTCTGATGCTACCTTGTTTATAGGGACTCCTTGCTTTTCAGCCATGTAGCCAAGATAAACGAAAATAACAAATCCACTGTAGAAGCTTGTGAAACTATTCGCCCCCGTTGTTAGCAGACAGTCCCTGTGAAGAGAAAATGGAAACATAAAATTAAATATTTTTCTTTGTTTTTAGTCAAGCACAAAGCAACACAATACTGCAACCACCACGGATATCGAAACTTGATTTCTAGCGTTATATGTTCGCATACTTACCGCTGTGCCATTGATGGTGGGGAGTGGGGCATTAAAAGGTCCTCGTAATGCTTATGTTCCACCAAATTTAGGGGAATCCAAAGAAGCTCATATTTTACCTTAAAAACCTTTGAAATTCACGTAGCAGTAATAAGTGTTGTATTAATGATTAGTTTGTACATTTATGTGTCTGTGATGCATACGTTCTTAGGGGCCCTGACCAAAAAAGTCAATGGCCCTCAAATAATTCCAATAAATTTGTTTATCTGCGCTAGCCGCCTCTAATTTTGCAGTGATAGACTAGAGGGAAGGCAGCTAGTCAGCCACCGTCAACTCTTGGGCTACAGTTTTACCAATAAATAGTGGGACTCCAGGGCTGAAAGGGGAGCATTTTTGGTGACGAGGATTTAAACCAACCACCTACGGATTACGACTCGAGAGCCCTAACTACCAGGCCATGTCGGGACTTTGAATTTGAGAATTATTATTAGCCTGCGAGTGCATTTTGTAATACTTTCTGAACTGTTTTAGTTCAAGGACATATTAAAAAATATAAAAGTTCAAGAAGCACGATAGTTGTTGAATATTTTAAAAGGTGCGACGTCCAATGTTCCAAGAAATGTTAAACATAGAACGAACGAAAGTAATATTCTTAAATATCCATAAACATATGAACACTTTGGACAATCTATACTGGACTTGACAGTGCCTATATCTAGAATAACATGATATTCATTATCTACCAGTTTCACTCTCGTATCCATGATGTCCCCATATTGACCATTTACCAGATTTCGATGCTCCTGTGTCTAAGATGGTAGATATTGCATATCGAGAAGGTTTCAATGGTCTTGTATCTAACAAGATTGACAGTTCCGGTGTCAATATGACGCAATAGTGGCTATCTAGAAAATTCTAATGGTCATGTATCTAACAAGATTGACAGTTCCGGTGTCAATATGACGCAATATTGGTTATCTAGCAAGTTTTAATTGTCATGTATCTAACAAGATTGACAGTTCCGGTGTCAATGTGACGCAATAGTGGCTATCTAGCAAATTTTAATGGTCATGTATCTAACAAGATTGACAGTTCCGGTGTCAATATGACGCAACAGTGGCTATCTAGCAAATTCTAATGGTCATGTATCTAACAATATTGACAGTTCCAGTGTTAATATAACGCAATAGTGGCTATCTAGCAAATGTTAATGGTTCTATATCTAACAATATTGACAGTTCCAGTGTTAATATAACGCAATAGTGGCTATCTAGCAAATGTTAATGGTTCTATATCTAACAGGATTGACAGTTCCTGTGCCGAAGATGTTGAGATATTGACTGTTTGTGATGTTTAGATAATGCCGTGTCTGAGAGAATGCGATATGCTGGAATTTCTAATACATTATTATATTCTCAAAGTCCAAATGTATACTCCTAAAAACTTTAGACAACTTGGATGGTTTTAATGAGGAAATCTCTTGTTTTTGATTAGCTTATAAAGACAAAGAAAAGATAAATAAGATTATTATAGACGATCTTTGTTTCAATACTTAGTTTTCCAGCCTAATTAGAATGAATCCTTTATGTCTGCATCCAGAGAAAATAATGATTTTTAAAACGTAAAACTCAAGCTATTAAGCCTTGTTCAATACCTTACTTGTTTAATTAAAATTCATTATATAATAGCCTAACTTATTAGTAAAGGAGAGAGCACTGAACGTATTATTAATTAGTGTTAAGGTGCTTGGTCAACCAATTTTTTTCTTCAAAAATACATCGTCTTCAAACTTTCTCGAACTTTAATGAAAACGTTGAGTGATGTTCGTCTTAGACGTCACATTTTTCTGGTTCACGAAAGTTATGAGATCTGGTGCTAGATATTTAATCTTTATCATCTAGTGCCGACATTCCTAACAGCTTCAGCTGTGTGTTCGTGGTTAACTACTCTCGTAACCGAGTCTCCCTTACAGGAGGAAGGCGGTAAATCTAATATCGCGCACTTTCAAGTTCTCCCATTTAGAGTCGAAATCCAATAACACAAAGTTGAGAGGAAACTATTCACGCTTGAACGTCTCATAATACAAACAATCAACTTTGAAATTAGAATATTTCGCAATCGTTTTGTTTCTTCAATTGGAGCAAAATGTCTCTTTGAAATCTGTAAAATAATAAACGAAAGTACCTCAAAGAAAACCGACAACTACCAACTTCCAACGGAATTATTTTCATTATTATGACCTCTTAACTTGAATATGATTTAACCCCTGCCGTAAACAAATGTAACAGATAATAAATCAAACAAAAAACACATTATTTATATAAATAAAACAAACAAACTGTTTACATAATGAAAATAGACATTGCCGTTTATAAAACACATTGTTAATATCAATAAGATAAAAACATTGTTTATGTAAAATGAAAAAATTATTTATATAAACTACACAAACACATAGCTTATATAAACAAAAATACACAGTGTTTGTATAAACAAAACAAACACATAGCTTATATAAACAAAAAACACAGTGTTTATATAAACAAAACAAACACGTAGTTTATATAAACAAAACAGACACAATGTTTATAAAGATAAAAGAAACACGGTGTTTATATAAACAAAACAAACACAATGTTTATAAACAAAATGTTTGTATAAACAAAACAAACACAATGTCTATATAAATGAAGCAAACATTTTGTCTATATAAAACAAGATAAACATATTTATATAATGTCTTTTAACTGAATTGAGACGAGTTTCAAACCAATAACCAAATTCAGATAGAACATTAGTTGTGTGTCATAATCGCTGTTATAAAATTCATCGTTGGTCTTTAATAACAGTTATAACATTAGTTGTGTGTCATAATCACTGTTATAAAATCCATTGTTGGTCTTTAGTAATAGTTGTAACATTAGCCTATATCATAATCACTGTTATGAAATCCATTGTTGTTCCTTAATAACAATTGTTACATTAATTGTGTGTCATAATCACTGTCATAAAATTCATCGTTGGTCTTTAGTAATAGTTGTAAAATCAGTTGTGCTTCGTAACCACTCGACGGTTTTCGGCACTGACCTTTGTGTTTGTGGATTCTCATCTGTTACTAGACCCGCCATTTGCTTATCACTATTTTTGACAAGTCGACTCATGTTCCCGTGTTTTCCAATCACATTAGCTACAAGGGATATCGCCGTCTTGGAAATTCTAAGTCCTCGACGTGAACACTTCTGTGTATCTGAATGTATGAATATATTGCTTTGCAAAGGGTTGCTACATATTGTTCCCAAAATCGATCCATTTTTAGTGCATCAAATTACCTACCTAACACTAAACAATGTCAAAATGTAGTTATGATGCTTGCTGTTCCACCACGACTTTATATCAGCTGTGATTGTCACGTGACTTGCTGTTTTTTTTTAATCAAAATCTTTCTGTTATAACGTTCTCCAACCTGTTTTTAAGTAAGCATATTTTGATTTTAACGGATCATGCGTAGCTTAGTGGTTAGACTAGTTACTGACCGCGACTCAAATATGGACCGTTAGTTAATTTAGTATTTTTAAATTTTTCTGACACGAGAAATTTTAGAAAAGTACTGTGTACACTAAAAATGTATTGATAAATGCACGTTATAAAGTACACCAACTTAAAAGCTCTGGAACCAAAGCACATTTGTAAAGTATCTTAATTACACGAAAAACAGTGTTGATTGCTATTAATATTTCTGTACAGTCCAACCTGTAAGACAGGAGTAAAATGGGGAGAGCGCTTTCCCTGGAGCGTGATCTTACTGTAAACAAGGAGCTAGAGCCTTCAAAACATAGTTGAATAACCATGTGTTGGAGTTTCGGTTCTATGTATGGTTCGAAACATGATACTGCTGTAAACGCTCTGCATTTTAAGCTGTGGACGCTTCATATAACTTTTGTTAATTTTTATTTGTCTATAGGACTCGCAGTTCTTGTTTTGTAATAATTTTTGTTATTTCTTTTAGTATAACTTTATTCATCTTTGTTTTAGAATAGGTTTCATTGTTTCTTATGTAATAGCTTTGTTAGCTATTATAGCTTTGTCTATAAAAAATCTGTTTATTAAGGATTATTACTTCTCGTCTTTGTTTGTTTTAGAATAGGTTTCATTGTTTCTTATGTAATAGTTTTGTTACCATTTATTGGTCTATAAAAATCTGTTTACTATTAAGGATTATTACTTCTCGTCTTTAATTGTTTCAGAATAGGTTTCATTGTTTCTTATGTAATAGTTTTGTTACCATTTATTGGTCTATAAAAATCTGTTTACTATTGA